CTCCCTCTGCCTGTGTTACTATCCGCTCTGTGGTTTGTTTTCATAGCCAGTCTTCTCCGTTTGCAGCTGAGTAGAGCGACTGAAACTGCTGTTTTTATCATCTGTGTTGATGAATTAAGGAGTTATTTTGACAAAAGCAGAGTTGGTGATTGTTGGAACAGTGGAAAGACTAACAAAGACGATTTTGGTGAATTTTACTTTGTTTCTTGTTATGTTACAATAATGCAGGTAAAATGATCACTTTTGTCTATGGAGTCTGGTGGTGAGTGATAGCAATATTACGGCTGTTTCTTGTTAAACAAAAGGTCTACCTCTTTAGGGATCCTTTCCATAATGTTATCAGACACAAATAAGCACTTTTAGTGGACTTCAACGGGTGCATTTGTCCCCAAGAGTTAGCTAACGTTATATGGCAGCCATAACAGCCCATTTCACAGCTATTTATCATCTAATCAGTGAATTAAGGGTTTATTTTCTACCAAACCAGGGTTGGCAATTGCTGAAAAGACTGTCGAATGACTAACAAAGACAAAGGTTTTAGTTAGTTTTATTTTATTTCTGTCCAGTCTGGTCATCCTTAGTGCTCATTGTTTTGGTGTAAGATGCTGATGTGTTAGCATGACTTCTAATGGCAAGTACATTTCATTTATAAAACCTTTAAATTACAACAGAATAAAATTGAATGAATAAAGACTTTGATTAGTACGTATTGACCTTTTATCAAACAGCCCAAAAAACCTTTTGGATCTCAGTTCCTGAAATAAATGGTGGGATGTATTAGTTGATATGTATGTATGAGATCTGAAGGCTGTCAGTTAAACATATGGTGGGGGCAGCACTAATTTCACAGTCCATTGTGAGAGCTCATGCTAGAAAGGTAATCAATACCTCATCTCAAAGGCATAGCTAACCTACTTCAACAATAGCTGTGAATTTGCATCAATCCATATGTGGCACATAGGTTTGATGAGTGATATGACTCCAGTGCAGCAAATTAGATGCACTGAAGGGAAAATCTTCACTCGTCTGCTCCAAACTTTATACCTTCATTACTGAAATCAACCTTCAGAAGCCTTCTTCTTTGTTTAAAACGTGAAGAGAAGATGGAGGCGTGGATGCTGCAAGATTTTTCTCCCATTCACATCTTTCATCCACAACAAAAAGAGCCGTCTTTACATCAAAGACTGTTTGCCTATGTGTTCCCAGCACCACAATGTACCTTACATCCATCCATTGTGACTGCATTTATGCTTTCACGTTCTATTTTTCAAACAGCAACACATGGATTTAATAGATATTTCTTGGCTGCCACTTGACAGCTTAATGCCACTGAGAAATTTTTGAAATATGATGGTTATTATCCAAACTGTATCACTAGTATAATGAGGGATTAGTCACTGAAAAGAAATGGATTAGAAAATAGATATACATCTGAGGCACAGTTTCCCAATGTCACAGAAATATATTTACATTTTTCATGAATTGAAGATAAGTTAGTTATATAGTTAAAAACATAGAAACATAAATTGTCATCATAAATCTGTGTATAATGTTTAATGTTGTATTTCTGTCGATCCAGCCATTTTGTCTGCTCTTCACTTTGAGACGAGATGAACACTTAAACAGGCAGACAGTTCAAACCAGCTGAAGAAGCAGGGCTGCTGCCCAAGACTTCTTACACACACACACACACACACACACACACACACACACACCCCCTCTGGCTCACCTTCCTTCATGGTTCAGTGGTTATTCATTCAATCACGCCAACTTCACTCTTTCAAACACACACACACACATGCACACATTGACACAGCCATATTAGCATATCCCACTCCAGCATTTAGAAGCAGCCTACTGTAACATATAGGTAAAGCTCAGTCAATTACAGCAGATTAAATTGTGCTTACATGTATTAACATGGGCAGTTATGTGTAGCTCACTTGGCTATGACCACATTCTCCTTGCTGCAGTATAGTATATAGAAAATGCATAAAATTACAAGTGTCAGTCATTCAAAGAAGTATAATCAGTAGCATTTAAATGTCCAATAATCTTTAGTCTGAATTCTGTAGAGAAGAAGACGCATCAAGGGAATTGTGTAACAGGTTAAGACCTTCATAAGAAATGTAGTGGAATGTATGAAAATATCTAAGACATTGAAACTCTGTTTGGTGGCTAAAACCACTCATGTAAAGCCGCATTAAGTGCACATTTTATGTCCATATATAATCAGCTCAACCTGTGCCAGATTAGAGATTAATGAACGATAAAGGTGTCAGTGCCTTAAACCAAGTGCTTCTTGGTGGGTCGTCAAATAGTGTCGGAAACCCTCCCCCAACGTCTTTTTTATGTCGTCTGTTTGTAACTTTTCGGAAAATTGTCAATCCAACAATCACGCCTTGCTTTACAGTGAGAAAGAAGCCAGGATTATAATTTTCATCTCAAGCTTTCATCTATTCTGTATTCACACAACTACCTCACTGTCACCTTTTCTGTCACCTAAACCATGCCTTATCTTACCTCTATAAACAAATATCTGTATATAAATGCTGAGGTCTGTGGGCAAAGGCATCAGAAGCGTTCTAGTTTCCGTTTGTAGTCCAAGTAGTATTGACCAATCACTTTTGAGTGGGCTTTGGTTGCATGCAGGTAAACAGTCTGTGAGGAGAGAAAAACAGGCAGAACACATTGGCCGAAATTCAATCTCTGAACCCATCAGCTATGGTCTGACGACCTCCACACGCTTGCTGCATGGAGGACACACTACTTCCTGCACTGGTAGTGAGCTGCAGAATTGTCCAATATGGTATTAACTCCTAGGATAATGTATCCTGACTTTGCTAGATGGTTTGTTACACAGAACCATCTGGGACGCTGTTGTTGGAAACTGTTTGGAAAAATACTCGGCAGGTGATTGGATGAACCATCTGTCTTTCACAGACAAACTTCAAACAATCAGAATGAAGAGCCATATAACGTAGTCAAACTCTTACCAAAGTCGGGAGAAAAACAAAAACATCTTTTCCATTGAGGAAAGCCTTCAGTGCTATCCTTTGCTCTTCTTTCAGTGAAGAAATACTCTCCAGTTCCGATATTACTGATGCTAGCAGCATCTTAGTAACCTCTATGGTAGCCACCATTGTTATTTAACAAACATTGGGTCACGCATAGCGCCCACCCCTGTAGATTTCAGGATCTCACGAGTCCAGCAGCCCCACAAGGTTAAGGATAAGGGATGACCATACGAAATAGAAATAGAAAAAAACTATTTTGAGATAGTATAAATAAATAAAACCTAGCCATAACCAAGTTGAGCTGGCGTTAACTGTGAGAAATGTGAGTGACAAAACCAACCCGGCCTCACTCCCAAGTTGCCAGTCACTGCTGTCGGTGGCCCTGTGCTTCCAAATATGACACTGTAAGTATCCCTAAATTCTGGATGTGCCCGCCAAGTCAGGTGATGAAGTTTAAAGAGCGAGAAAGTCAGCGTTGTCGGGTGGAGGGATGGATGCCTCAAACAAACACAGGATTTGAACCCATGTGAAACCAAAGGCAAACAATTTCTTTTATGTAATGTATGGAAATGACATTTTATTCATATAAGTTATGTCAAGTATGTAATGTAACTTACGATATTTTCCTAATCCGAACTGAATAGTTTTTGCATGAAATTGTGACCATTTCACGAGACACACAAGCTTAATCTGAAATGTCTCATAAGTGTTTAATGCTACTAAAACTACTGTTTATCACTCTTCCTATTGAACTTAATACATTCATTTTAATATATATTCATTACTCACCCTTAATATCGAGGATGCTTTTTGCGTAGGTGATAACACTCTTGCATGTGCTCATTAGGTTTTTGCCCAATGTCTGACTCCCGCTTCTAGAAACCTGCATTCAGAAGCTAGCAGTATCGTTCTTTTAAGGTGCCTTATTCTCATTGGATCGACATAAATTAATTTAATTAATCAGTATAATGAACAAACACAATAAATTCATTTATTGCAAACATATTTCTAGTTTTTGAATATAGCTGCCACAACCACCTTTCCCCCTAATTTTAACCATACCATAGTTCCCTTGTGCATGTTAAGATTACAAAAAGTTGCTATTAAGCATACCAAGTGTGGCAGAATTGTGCAGTCTGTGTGGCGATAGCGTTGGGCAAACCTCTCATTTCCAAACCATTCTGACTGTTGAAGAACAGCATCTTCCAGAGCTGACGGAGGTGAAAGTGAAGCTGAATGGATGGCAATTTGACCATCTGTGGGAGAGATGACAGCTCGCAGCGAGGCAGACAACCGGTCAGTCACCCTGAGACCTAACCTCCGTCTTTTCCTGTCTCTCACCAGCAATCTCTCTGCCTCTGCTAGTCTGTATGTTTTAGACACACTCTAGTGGCACCAACTGTGTAGCTTGGTTGTAACCTAAAGTCTACAGCATCACAATTCATGACTGGGCTCTTTGTTCATTTTGATCATTTTATTCTCATACTTCAGAATATTTCCTGGGCTAAGAGGCTTCATTGATTCAGTCTACAACCCTTCGAGGCATCCCTCCCCGCGTACCCATCCTCTATTCATCTTTCCTTTCATTCGCATCTCTCCCCTTTCCTCTCCTTCCTCATCCCCCCTTTCATTCCCACACTTCCTCCCATTCCCATTATTTCTCTTTCCTTCCTCCCTTCCTTGTTTTCTTCCTTCCTTCCTCCCCTTCTCACTCTTAAAACCTCAACTTGCACGGAGGATGTAGCGAGGCGAGACCTCCTGTCGTCGGTGGGAAAAAAGGGAGAGACCATCAGCTCGCAGACAGAGGGATGCAGCAAAGGTATAGGTTGGAAGGTAGTAGTATAGGCCTGCTCAGTCCTCCCTCACCCTCCCCTCCCTCCCTGCATCCCATCAGTCCCCCCCTTTTCCTGTGCCAGGGTGGTATGACCTGCTGGATTACAAAACAGCCCTCCCATGTGTCTGACTGTTCTCTGTGCCAGCCGAGAGACAGCGATACCAAGCTCCTGGAGCGCTGGTGAGGGCGACAGAGAGGAGGAGAAGAAAACGATGAGAGGAGGGAGGGAGAGGGGGACAGGAGAGAAAGAGGGAGAAAGTGGGAAAAAAGAGTAGGAGATGCAGAGCGAGGGAAGTAAGAGAGTAAGAAAAGAAGAAACAAAGGAGAAGAAGGGAGGTAGAGGGAGAAAGACGGTAGAAGGGAGGATGGAGATAGTACAGGAGCGGGAGGAAGAAAGGGAGAGTGTGTCTGGGGGGGAAAAAGGAGGGAGTTTTGAGTGATAGCGAACACACTGTAGATGAAAGCTTTGAGAAGAGCAGGACGCTGAGAAGTATCAGCGCTGTCAGAGCATGTTCAACCCTCAGGGACAGCCGGGGGTAAGTCACACACTACTCTGCTACACGAGCATGTGCATCTGATATACACACATTCACTGCTTCACACACACACTCATTCATGCATTTACACACTACGGCATCTTAATGTACGTCTACTACACTTTCTGCGAGGCCTAGAGGCTCAATTTCACACATTGTAGACACTTAAATGTACAGTCTTGGGTGTAGAAAATATATATTTCTAAGGATGATAATTGCTCCGGTCAGATTAATTGCTTTCCCACCGGCGAGCAGAGCTTTTTCTGATCCGTCTGAAGCTGCAGGTCAAAAGCTCCACGATGCTTTTAAAGAGGGTAGACCTGAAAGGTATCGCGTTCATAGCTGGACTTCCACTCCGAAAGTAGTCTGACAGTGTTTTCTTTTAAACTTTTACACCATCCATTTGTGTCTTTCTCTTTGTTGGCTCAGGATGGTACTGTTCGAGGTGGGCCTTCTTTATAAAATAATAAGAGATGAGAGAGGCTGATCAAGAGCGGAGTCGTCAGGGGATACGGATAATGGCGTAGAGAGGGAGAGGGGAGCTTCTGCTGCGAGGAATCAATTTCATATGATGTCTGACAGGCTGTCATGGAATCATTATGCAACCCCCAGAGACAAAGAGATGCTTTAAGAAGCTGTGTGTGTGTGAGTGTTTGGGTTCTGCTGGAATAGACACTTAAGTGCACACACATTCCTGTAGCGCACAATCGTCCTCTCATTTCTGCGCACAAACAGCTCAGTTTCAAAATAACCAAGGAATTGGGCCCTAAACTGAGTTACAGCAGCCATTCAAGGAATTTTCTAGCAGCCTTTAAGCCGGAAGAGTCTTGAGTTGAATTTTCTGTGGGCTACAAGGGAGAGAAGCTCCAGTTCCAGGGAGTTGTTAAGTCCCTGTTTAGCACGCTGTAGATCCAATTGATTCCTGTGCCGGGAGGCGAAGGGTCGTTTCACCCGCTGGAACCATGAGGATAGAGTGGGCTTTATCGTCTGAACGAGAGGCACTTCCTCAGATTTAGTTGCTTTAACCCCCCAGGGTGAGGAATTAGAGGAGAGAAGAGCAGAAGGTGGTGGTCTCTGTCTCACGGGGGCTCAACAGCAGCCATATTAGCTCCGTTACAGGTCTCAGGAGGACAGCTGGGTGACAGAGGTCGTCATGGCGAAGGGAGGGGGTCGTCATGGTAAGTGGTTGTCATGGAGATTGTGGATGTGGTGGTGATGGAGCTGAGCAGGTGGGTACCCCTGTGGACAGGGCTCACCTGGTCTGAAGAGACCATTATGCTCATATTCTACCTGCAGCTGTTTTTTTTCCCTCCCCATGTGGAATCATGTCCTGAAGTCTCGCTTGCTTTTCTCCAAGTGGCTGCAGCACAGAAACAAAGCAACATTTTTAAAAAAGGATCATAAGACAAAGCCATACAGCTGAAAATGCGTAGTCGGATGTAAAAAAAAAAGGCGGGGTCAATTTTGTCTCACTTTGTCGAAAAGCTTTCTGCTGGCGTTGATGTTTGTTATTGACAAAGTATTAACACAGCCCTGTTTTGTGTATTTCATTAATTAATCCATAACTTAACGAAATTATGCTCGTGCCCAAGGCTGTGCCGCTTTTGTTCCATTAACTTTGGCCGCGTTTGGACTGAAACAGAAAGCCATTTTTAACCCTTTGTGGAAAAACACATCTCTGTTGAAGCATCTGAGGGTTCTTATCTAAGGCAAATGTGCAGATTTTGCCGCAGGGATTTAAAAACCTGCTCTCTTTTGATAGCTGGAATCCAAGCTGAGTGTCTCTGTGCATAGCTGCATCTGGGAAAAGTGAAATCTCAAACATGTTTAAATTATTTTCATCTGTCATTGTGCTGAAAATCTCCTAATTTGCATTGAATGTGAGTTGCTGTTACAGAGAGTAGGGCAGCTCATTAGTTGGCCAGGAGAGAGCAGGTAGCCACCCCCCACCCTCCCTCCTCCCTTTCAGGTCTTTATCTGGGCTGATATTTCTGGACACACACACATTTTTTCTCTGCTCTTGTTTCCTCCCCAGCCTTTATCTTAGTGGTGATCAGTATATCCCCCCCCCCTTCATTTAGCAGCTTCTTTTATGTGCTAATAATTGCCCAGAGCGTTGACACTGTTAGCGTACGAGTTTGTATATTTGGCCACTTTTTATACCCTGAAGCTTCAGCACTTTCACATGCCAGCGATAATTTGAATATCTACACGCACAAAGCAGTTACTGTATGCAACCGTGTAATGCAACAAACCCTCCCACCCCGGCTGTGAATCATTATCAACACATACAAACTCACACAGTAAAACATTAGAATATCTCTCAGCTTCATAGTTCATCTCATTCTGCTGCTTAGTCATCTAGATGTGTTCTGTATGTGGAAGAGAAACAGGGTTGGTTGAAATGCTGCATATGAATTTTTTAATCTGGGAAAAAAATGATTTTCTAAACTTTCAAAGAAAGGCTGATGTCAAAGCAGGCGTTTACAAAAAATAGATGTCCCCAATTCAATTTGTTTTGTTTGATTTGATCAGCAGTAATTCAATCTGGTTTTCTTGCTGAATGCATGGTCATCCTTCCCTGTCTCCGAGAGGCTGCGAGGCGCCGGCCGTGTTAGCCGGGCTATGGTTTCCTCTCTGCAGAGAATAATGTGACGGTATAGCAGGATCGTCACCCACGGAGCTGTCTCTTATGTTTCATATAGGAGGACTGGACACTGACCCTGTGGCTGTGTGTGTGTGTGTGTGTGTGTGTGTGTGTGTGTGTGTATGTGTGTGTGTATGTGTGTGTGTGTGTGTGTGTGTGTGTGTGTGTGTGTGTGTGTGTGTGTGTTTGTGAGTGAGCTGGCCATTGAGGGAACAGAGTGTAGTATCCATATGGTGTGTGTGTGTGTGAGTAAGGGCCTTTGGGTGTGGCATACACTGAGAGAACCTTGTAACACAGCAGTGTGTTTGTGTCAGTGCTGTGAAATACATATCACATTGTATTTCTATGCTTCTAGTGACAGCCTCAATTATTTCTGTCTGTGCATATGTATATATATTGAATTATATTGAATTTCATATGGTGTGTACTCTAAACTGAAAGGTATTCCAGCCACTTGCATTTTTGTGGAATGCATATAAGGGCCACATCTTTAATTATGGTCTGTTTAAATCCAGAAAAAAAAATCAAACAACCCTCACAATCACATATATTTATTTATTCTGTCTAGAAACTGTTTAATATATTATTTTTGTCATTTTCATTTTAACATTTAAAATTTTGTCACCATCACACAGTGTTGGATATATTCTTTGTGTTTCAAAATGCTTTATAAAAGTCATTTAAAATGTTTATTATTTATTAGTTTTTAAAGACAGACAGATTTTATTTCTATCATTTTGAATGACTAAAACAAATTACTTTATTTTAACCAACAATGCACAAACAACACTCTTCATATACATTATATCTGAGTTTAACATATAAATTCACACATACTCCCAGACTGTAGATAAATGCCTCTGCACTGCTCTCTATAGGTGAAACCACCTCACTGAGGAGTTTGCTGTTACTTTGCAATAGGCTACAATTTAACAGTTGAGCTTAAAACATGTATTTCTAAAAGAAACTGAAGCAATATACTCCCAAAAAAGTAACTCATGGTCCACTTTCCTGAGCTTTCAACTGCAAAAAAAGCTAAGACTAATATTTACTCTGTCAAGAATGAAGTGTCATGCTCAATATAGCTCAGTATTAACAGATATAAATATGATTGTATTTATATTTATTTTTTGTGGCACAAATGACACACATTTCTTTAAGAAGAAAAATACCATGGTATGTTAGAATTCAATGCCTCTCCATAGGGGACAATTAAATATACTCAGCTGCAGTGTGAAATGTTATTTACTGATTTACTGTGGAAACTAATACAACACTGAGAACATCATTTCCTGACCATTAAACTCATTCTTTTCTTTAGCCATGCAATCCACTATCACATGACTATTTTTAAGTGATAACCATGCACACAAACCCTGAAGGAACTTCCTGAATTAACTTATTGCATATATTAGTATTTCTCTAAAATTAGATTTTATTATATCAACATTTATTTCTAAAGTATACACTGCCAATGTTCTGAATCTGACCTACAGAGACGAATGGACTATTTTTTAAATTACAATTATGGCAAAAATGATTCAGTTGAGTAATAGTTGAGGGAGACAGAAGCAAGAGGAATGGTAATAGTATTTCACCACCCTGCTGCATTAAATTTAATGTAAAAGTGTACTAAAATAGCAAAAGAATGGCGCATTTACTATTCAAATAGCAAATAATTACGCTTCACCAGTAACTTAATGCACACATCATGTGTCACTTAGGCATGCATGTGTGTGTGTTCATGCATGCATGCGTGTGTCACTTAGAGGACGTTGAAATCCTTTGTTCTCCATCACAGAGTCGATAACAAAGACGGTTAGCAACAAATTTAATTAGCTTTTTAATGAGTGTTTTAGCACATCTGTACTCTGACTTTTACTTGAGCAAATTGCCTCAGCGACAACACTGAAACATGTTGTAAAATTGTTTAAATGTCACTTTCATTCTGGCGATAGTAATTGCAATGTGACTTAATTTGCACCCTTTTATTTGATTTAATTACATATCACATCATTTGAACACTTGTTTAACCGTACTATTAGGGAAACCAAATCAGATTAATTAATCTTATAATTGAAAAATAAAATGACAGCAGTGTAACTGTTAAAATATGATTTGCAGTTTTCATGTTTAAGACTGCTTTACGTGAATTGTCACATTACAAATGAAAATAGTAGCACGCAAATGCATAAACTAATAAATAAGGTGAAGAAGCATTTTTCCCCCCAATAATAGACTTCAATAAAATCCCAAAAAGGAAATGCAGTTGGGTGCTAGTAAGGATGTCTGTGGTGTGTATGTGTAGAGAACGATAAGGGAAGTGTCGCACACACTGCATTTAAGTGTGTGT